TCCGGGATAACTCGGGTCCCGGGTAACTCGGGTTCGGAATCCCGAAAAACGAACCCGAATCAGCCCTGACCCGAAATGCCCCTGATGATTTGGGGCTCTGCGCATGGACGCCCGAATTACCCGGGGTAACTCGGGTCCGGTGTAATTCGGGTTCGGAATCCCGAAAACAGAACCCGAGTCAGCCCTGACCCGAGCTGCCCCTGATGAAGTGGGGCTCTAGACGCCCGAAATGTCCGGGGTAACTCGGGTCTGGGGTAACTCGGGTTCGGAATCCCGAGAAAACGAACCCGAGTCAGCCCTGACCTGAGCTGACCCTGATGACTTGGGGCTCTGCGCACTTCTGGCAACGCCCGAAGCGTGCCCACTCTTGGAGGGCATCGGCACCACGCGCGCCTGCTTCGGGGGCGGCCAAGGGAGGGGGGCGGCCAAGAGAGGGAGGGGCGCAAATCTCATGGCGGGCGGCACGTGCGCGGCCCCGGGGGACGCATTGGAATACGAATACGCGTTGGAGATATCATGGCCCCTGCCATGATATCCACACACACACCCAGTCATCCCCCCCCCTCTTGGCCGCCCCCGACTGTTCCGAGCGTTGTGTTCCGCATCCCGGAACAAAGTCAACAGACATGCAACTCATGGACCTCCGTAGTGGGTTCTTCGGAGGACCCCAAAGGACATCCACACTGCTGTATCTGCCTGAGCGTTGCTGCCCGCGTCTCGCACCGAAACCCACAAACATGCGCAACAAATTCTCGTCTTATCACGCTCGTCGGAAAGCCCCAGGGGGGCGTCTGCACCGCAGTGTGTTGGAGACAAAACCAACAACGGCATCACAGAATCCCCTGCTTATTGGGCCAATGGGAAAGCCCCAGATGGTGTTTGCTCTCGGTGCCGACTATGAACATCGGATGTTGGGGGGTGAGATCGCAGTGAAACGGAGACCCCCAACCGGGAAATCGTTTCGTTTCGTTCGTGTCGTGCGAGCGGGCGAGGCGAAGCTGCGTGGGCGCGCGAGAGCGAAGTCGAGACAAATGTTGCTCCTCCGTCCGTCCGTCCGTCCGTCCGTCCGTCCGTCCGTCCGGCGGTGGCCCGCGGTGTCCAGTGGTGTCCTGGGGTGAATGTACCCACCGTTGCTAGGGCGAAATCAAAAGAATCTTGCTCCTCCGTCCGTCCGTCCGTCCGGCGGTGGCCCGCGGTGTCCCGCGGTGTCCCGTTGAGTGATGAGATCGATTAAGATCGATAGTGAGATCGATAGTGAGATCGATACTGAGATCGATGTGGTGCCCCGAGGTGTCCCTTGGTGTCCCAGAAAGTGAGATCGATAGTGACATCGATAGTGAGGTCGACAGGTGGTGTCCCGTTGAGTGAGATCGATAGTGAGATCGATGCTGAGATCGATAAAGATAGATCGATAGTGAGATCGATACTGTGAACGATGTGGTTCCCCGAGGTGTCCCGTGGTGTCCCAAAAAATGAGATCGATAGTGACATCGATGTGGTGTCCCGAGGTGGCCCGTGGTGTCCCGTTGAATGAGATCGATAGTGAGATCGATGCTGAGATCTGTGTGGTGCTCCGAGGTGTTCCAAAACAAGAAATCGATAATGAGATAGATAATGAGATCGACAAGTGTCCCGTGTTGTCCCGTGGTGTCCCGTTGAGTGGGATCGATAGTGAGATCGATAGTGAGATCGCTAATGAGATCGATGTGCTGTCCCGAGGTGTCCCGCGGTGTCCCGTTGAGTGAGATCGATAGTGAGATCGATAAAGAGATCGATGTGCTGTCCCGAGGTGTCCCGCGGTGTCCCGTGGTGGCCCGTGGTGTCCAATGGTGTCCCGTTGAATGAGATCGATCATGAGATCGACAAATGTCCCGTGGTGTCCCGTGGTGTACCGTGTTCCGTTGAGTTAGATCGGTAGTGAGATCGATTGAGTCAGATGTTGGTTCCCCCCTTCCCCCCCCACAACCTCCTTATCACCCGAAGGGTGGTCGTATAGGTAAGTATCCGAATGTATGTTCGATGTTGTGTTTTATTCACAAGGAAAAAGAAACAGAAAATAAACAACTTCCCCTTCTTAGGTTCATCAGAAAACCCAGGAGGGCGTCTGCACCGCGTCTGTTGATCGAATTCGATGTTGTTTAAACACGACAACACAAAGTGAAATCATTGCACAAGACATGCATATGTGGCAGCCTTGCGCGAAGGTGTCATTTTGTGCAGCGTTACAAAAAGTTGCCTCTCAGTGGCGGCCTCACAGGAAGGATTACATGCGTGGCGGCGTTGCCAAGAGTGCCTGCTGTGGCGGCCTTGCAAGCGGATGCTCTTCTGCAACGGCATTCCAACATGATTGATACAAACGGAAATCAAAACAAGAACAGCACATTCCAATGGCATAGTGAAATAATGATGTGTGCCACTGAGTCTGGTGTTGAAGGCTAAGCACATTGCTAAACCAATACATGCTCAGCCATCGGAGCTCTCAAACGATGTTCTCAGCCAGCGGAGCTCCGAATCGCTGCAAAACACCGCGTTTCAGCGATTCGATGTTGCGGCGGTCTTACAAAAGGATGTCCTTTGGTGCGGCCTTACGAAAGGATTCCTCTTGTGTATGCCTTACAACATAATTTCCTTTTGTGAGTGATACATCCGGGAAGCAAGGACATCACGAAACATATAACTTGAAAAACACTTTGAACCAACTGAATTCGATCAGTTGTTATGTGTTCACTGGTCTCGGCATAAGAAACTAACAAAGTCTAAAAACATTCAGTGATCACCAACTGGAGCAGCAAAATGCTGAAACAAACCGTTTACAGCAATCTGAACCCCGAAACGCTGCAAAGCACTGTGTTTGCAGCCATCGGAGTTCAGAAGCGCTGTAAACTATACAGTGTTCAACAATCGAAGCTTCGACACGCTGTGCCATATAGCGTTTCGGAACTCTGATGGTTGAGAACGTTGTGTTTTACAGCGTTGCGGAGCTCAGATGGCTGAAGACGATATATTTTACAGCGTGTGGAAGTTCCGATGGCTGCAAATGCTGCGTTTTGCAATGGGTTAAGCCTCTGGCGTACCCATCATTGAACACGCACTGTTTGTTTGAATTGCATTTGATATTTGTTACGTTTTTGCTATCCTTGCTTTCCTCTTGAATCACGCAGAGAAGGAAATCATGGTGCGAGGCCGCTAGACAAGCAATCCTTTTGCAAGGCCGCCCGAACAAGAATCCTTCGGTAAGACCGCCACAAGAGGAATCCTTTCGCAAGGCCGTCACACGAAGAATCCTTGAACAAGGTCGCCACAAAGAACATCTGTCTGTAACGCCGCCACAAAAGGAATCCTTGTGTGCAACTGCCACAAAAAATCTTGTTGTAAGGCCGTTACGGCAGGGAATCCTCTTGTAAGGCCGTCGCAACGAGAATCTTCTCGTAAGGCTGCCACAAAGGAATATGTTTGTATATAAGGCCACCACTAAGAGGTAATCTGTCTCTAGGGTCCTGAAACATTATAGTGCCACGGGGGGGAGGTAAACCCTCTCCCCTCCACCCCGTTCGAACCCGGAAGGGAGGGGGGAGGGCGGTTCGGGCCAGCTCCAATACTACTTGGGCTCGATCGAGCTCTAGTAGAGCGAAGGCGAGGTCCAGCTCTAATATAATCCTACTAGGGCTAGATCCTGCTCTGAAAGAAACCTAGAAAGGCTCGGTCTAGCCCTAATCGAATCCTGCTACGGTTAGGTCCAGCTCTAACAGTAATCCTACTCGTGCCCGGCCCCACTTTAAACAGAATCCTACGATGAACTAAACAAATAAGATCCCACTAGTGCTCCATCCAATGCGAGTCGAATCCGGCCATGGCCTGGATGCAGCTCAACTGGAATCCTCTCAGATCTCGATCCAGCCTTGATAAAACACAACTAGGGCTCGATCCAAATTTAATGGAATCCTACACAGGCTAGATCCGGATCTAAAAAAAATCCTAATCGAGCTGAGTCCAGCTGTTATGGAATCCCCCCCCGGTCTGAACTGGAGAGGGGGGGGCTCTCAACCCCTCCCCCCCCCTCATGGTTCGAACCCAGGGGGGGGTCCGCCCTCCCCCTCTCCCAGCTCGGAACTTGAGGTTGTTTTACCCCCTCTGGTCCGACCCGGGGTGCTGATGCCAGTAGCGGCAGAAAACGCTCTTCCGAACAACGGAATGTCGGACCTGCAGCTGCTGGCGACGAGGTTAGTGCCTTTGGGCGACTTCTCACGCAAATTGCCAACAGAGAATCGAGCACGCATAGCTTCGAAACGAGGTCGGGCGCAACTCTGCCAAACCAAAATATACCGATACCGCTACCCCCCGGACCTGTCCCCGGGTGCGTTCTGACCAGGATTTCGAGGCGAATCCAGCGGTGGCGACGAGGGCCTACCAGGAGGCCCTAAAAGAGGAGAACGGACGAGGAGGTAGAGGTATGGGTACATCTTCCTCGTCCGAACCACACAACCTCATCCGAATCCCGCGCCACGCGGGAAGCGGCCTCCAGCGCAGCAGCATCCCCGGCACCCTGCTCGGCAACCACTGCGGCCTCTGGCTCCGCGGCAGCTGGGGCAGCGGCCTCCTCCAGCGCGGAACACTCGCGGGTTCGGAGGCACACCCTCGCCGTGCCGCCCGACTCTGCCGAAGGCGGCCCGCAGAACAGCCGCCGTGGCGAGGCTCACCGCTCCAGACACCACCGCGCGCGTGCGGAACGAGAGCCGCGCACGCACGCACACTGCCCCCAAGAGATGCGGAAGTGGTGCTCGGCGAAACGCTGAGCCTCTGGCCACCGGAAGCAGCGAACGGGCATACTTTCCCCCGCCGCCGCTCTGCAAAACGAACGGCTTGTAAGGCTCCGGGATAAGTACGAAATGCACGTGCACACAACTGCCCTCCGCCACCAGTGCGCCACACGAGCAGGACAATACTGAACACACGCACGTGCGTCAGCACAGATCGTGCTTCCCATTATCACGTATGGAAGGGATGACTCGTTCTCTTGGTCGCGGCGCGCGAGTGCCAAAGAGAACGAGGAGGAAGGGTACGAGAAAGATGAGCAAGGAGATTAAGGAGAAGGAGGAGGAGTATGTGCAAGAATGAAAAAGACGCGGAAGGGGAAGGGGGATAAAGAGTGGAGATGGCTGAAATGGGTTGGTTGGCCCAGGGCGAATGATCCTCCTTCTCCCTCGCCTTGACCCGCCTCCACCTCTTCCTCCTCCTCCCCATTCTTGCTCGTTTTCTGGAAACTGTTGCTCGAGAGGGCCCAAGATGGATCCAAGCCAGACCAACAGGGCCTCCAGTGGGCGCCAAGACCCGCCAAAACCGTTAGCATAGTGTTGTCAGTCAGTGTTGCCCTCTTGCGATCATCTCCAATACTTAACGCCCTGGAGCCGAGCCTTCGGGTCATGGGCAAGGTGGGTCATGCGGCGAAGGGCACGCGTCACAACGTTGGCAGGGTACACACAGGAAGAAACGCAATAAACGCACGAGCTCTTCAGTGATCGCGTGTGCACGCACGCGCGAAATGCAAAACAAAACTCTCAGATCTCTCCCTGGATTTGTTCGCCCCCGCTCCACCTCCTGCTCATCCTTGTGACCCTCCTCATTAGCATGGTCCCCATCCAACTCATGCTCCTCCTCTTGACCCTTCCCATTCTCCTTCTATAGCTCCTCCCATTCCTCCTCCAATGTCATACACTTTCTGCCCGTCCTCTCACCTTCCTCATACTTCTTCGGCTCCTCTTCCCGATCCCGATTCCGTCCCCTGATGGCGACATCCGTGCACGCGAGGCCCAAAGGTATGCGCCAGAAGTGCCTCCCAATCCCACCCAAAACGCCCTTCACTATCCTAGCATCCTCTTCGACTCTCTCCTCCCTTATCCCCACTCCCTCCCCCCCCTCCTTCCTCCAGCTGCCCTCCTCCTCCCTCCCACCCGCCGTCCTCCTCCCCTGCTGTTTTTTGTGAGGAGAAGGAGGGATAGCAAACCGTAAGGGGGGAAGGGCACAAGTAGGGTCACCGGGGGGGGCGGTTGGAACGGGGAGGAGAAATCACATGTGCCATCATCGTGGAGAGAGCGAGGGGGGCAGAGGTGGGGTCACGGAGAGCAGCTGCGGTGAACTCTATCAGGCGGAGCGCGGCATGCATTCTGATAGGCTTGTTTTCCACCACCGCCACCATAAGCTGGAGGGGAAACGGAGGTGGAGGATGACCCCCCTCCAACTTATGGTGGTGGTGGTGGAAAACAGGCCCATCGCAGTCGGCACCAGAGAGCTGCACCAAGCGCGCGCGTGCGCGCGGGGTGGGCGGGCCTCCAGCTTCCTCTTCTTGGCCGCGGGATCGGGGTCCTCCATGGCGCCCCTAGCGCGCACGGCCCGAGTGCAGAGGAGCCAGCAAACACCTGCACAGAATCTTTCGGATGGCCGCGCGGAGTTCTTGGCTCAGCGCTGGACCTCCTTCCCCTGGCGCTCGAAGCGCGCCGGGGGCGGCGCCGCCAGGGGTGCGCGTGGGGGGGAGGGGGGGGGCGCCGCCCGAAGAAATCCGCGCGGCCCTGCGGGCAAGCTTTACGTCCAGATACACTGCGTCTTGGCCTTGCCTGGGGAAGGGAGCCTGAAACTCCAAGACGCAATGGCTATGGGTACGTGCACGCATCTTGTCGGACACGTCCTCCTACAGGCGGATGTTGGAAGAAAGCCATCGAAACAGAAAGTCCGACGAGCACGAAAAATCGCCACCGGACTACCCTTCGTACATTTTCCTGTAGAGGGACATGCCCGACTTAAGTTTACTTTGACCTGAAACGTCTTCGCAACTTGCATGGTCTGGCCTGGTTTCGGCGGTTTCGCCCGATAAGTCCCTGCAATGTGCCTAGTTTGTCTTAACTTCGCAACGGCGTCGCCCGCAACGTCCTCGCCTTTGGCCTGGTTTGGCTAGGCTTGGGCACGGGATCGCCTGAGACGTCCTAAGAAGGCCCCTGGCTTGGCCTGGCTTGGGCATGGTTCCGCTGGACACGTCCTTACAAGTTCCCTGGTTGGGCTTGGTTGGACGCGGTTTCGACTCCGAACGGGGCGGCAAACATCCTCTCGAGTTGGCGGCCGCGGCCGAGAAGAGCACTGGGTGCATTAGCTACGCGGTGCAAGCTTAGTGGTGAAGACTATGTACTGTAAACCAAATCGCCTCGCCCTCGCTATAACACGTGACCCGCTGCAGGTTGGCGTTTCATTCGGTTCCCTGGCTTGGCCCGACGTCTTGCCCGCAGGCCCTCCACAAGCTTCTGCTCAGTGAGGTTGCGGGGCCTCGAGGGCGAAGGGCCCCCCTCCCCCTTTGGAGTCCCGAAACGGTGCGGTGACAGACCGCGCGGTGACCTCGAACTCCCCCAGGACCTCACCGCACGGTCCGTCCACGCATGCTTCTGGGACCTCGGATGCCTCAGCCGCCCGCAACGCCCTCGGATACCGACCCGAGTCCCAAAACCGTGCGGTGACCCCGAATCCCCACCGACTCATCACACGGTGTGGTCACCACCCTCGGGTGTTGCTAGAAGTACCCCTGGCCCAAGGTGCGCACAGCTTTTCGCTCCATTTTGCATCCCCTGGGGCCCTCTGGGCCTCGTGAGAGGTGCTTCGGAGGCCGCTTGGGCTACCCCGAGAATCCTGGGGGCACCTTGGCCCAGGGGCACTTCCAGCAACACCCGACACCCCGTCTGGGGGCCCCCGGGCCTCCCCTCGCGCTCGCGCGCGGGCGCCGGGCGGAGGCGGGCACCCCGCGCGCCGCTCGAGCACCCCGCGGGGGGAGGGAAGGGCGGCGCGCACCTGGACGCCGCCGCCACCGTCGTCGTCGCCTCCGTCGTCGCCGCGGTCGGGCGTCCGAGGCCCACAGAGTCGACCGTCACCTCCTCGACTCCTCTTCCTTCTAGGTGTCTCCTCCTCCTCCTCCTCCTCCTCCTCCTCCTGACGTTTCTGACGTTTCTCGCTACACAGCGTCTTGTCGCGCGCCCCGCGGGCGCGGAGCGCGCCGCAGCGGCCCACAAGGGCCGTGCGGGCACTCGAACAGCGGCCCCGGGAACCCGACCCCGAGGAGAGCAGGGAGGACCAGGGACCAATTTAAACCTCAGAGGAGGGAGGAGGGGGCCGGGTTTCAGAAAAAAAAGGGGCCCGTCAGGGCCCCTGGGCGGGCGCCGCGCGCGCCCGCGCCCGCGGGCGTCAGGCAGCGCGGCACGGCGCACGGCCAGGCCGACGGCCTCTTCGTGGGCCGGCGGCCGCACGGTGGCGGCTGGGCTCCCTTCGGCGCGGCGCGCTGAGCCCAGCCGCCGTGGGGGCTGCTTCGGGTGGCTGGCTGCCCCCCGCAGTGGCGACCTCCACCCTTCGGCGCAGCGCGCTGTGGAGGCTCGCCGAGCCGCTCGTGGGCTCCAGCAGGCCTGCACTGGCGTCTGCTCTCTCATCAACTTGCCGACTAGGGCCAGCTGGCCTCGGCCCCTCGCATGCCACGCGAGGGCGGCGGGGATACACCCTTCGGCGCCTCGCGCTGTGTATCCCACGCCGAGGGGCAAGCTGCCCCTTCTCTTCTGGCTCTGATGTGCTCGAGCCTGCAGTACTGCTTGACTCTGTAGCGCTCGAACTTGCATACCCCGTCCCAGTCGTGCTGGTCGAGGTGGTACTCCTGCGTATGCCATGTCCAGTCCTGCTGGTCATCATAGTAACCAGCCGTGGTATTTCCAATGCCCTCCGTCATGTCGCCCCCGACGCTACAGTACAGGTAGGCGCTGATGTAGAGGAGTGGTTGTGATGTGGCGGTCGTTTGTTTGTTGGTTGAGTGTGGGTTGTGGAGCGTGCTGGTTGGGTCGTTGGGGAGTCGGCTCGTTGCTGGTGTTGCGTTGATGGTCGTGGGCGTCCATGGCCTCCATGCACCGACTTCAAGTGGGGGTCTTGGCTGTCCCACCTCGTCCCGCTATGGCTAGGGGTCACAGTGCCCTCGGTGGGGGCGAACCCCAGGCCTGGTACTTATTATTGTCGGAGTGGAATGTCTCGGCTGTCCTGTGCTTCGCCCTCGGGCGCTCGGGTAGCTCCTCCTTCTCCATGGGAATGGTGGGGGTGGCGAGCTAGGGCGGACCGCGGGGGCGCAGGTAGTGGCCGTCCTACCCCCCCCCTGCCCCTCACCATCCCCCCTGGTGGGCGCGGGAAGTACTCGTCCTTCCCCCCCGCCCTTCGAGCCCGTCTCGAAGTTTGATCCATGCCTCACCAGGGCAGCGTCGACTTGACAAAAGGTGTGCAGGGCCGTGCTGGGTAAGATGTCAGTGTCGGACAGTAGTGCGGCGGCGTCGTGTGGATCGTCCGCTTCCAGCCAGCTGGTGTCATCCGAGTTGCATGTAACCAGTCACCGCCAAGATACCCACAGCAAAACGTAGCGACCTGTGCCTGGGGTGTTCCCTCGCATTCGGGGCTTCCCCAGGACTTGCGTCCTAACCCAAGCAAACTTGGCGACGCTGCCTGAGGTCTTCCCACGCATTCGGGGCTTCCTCAGGACTTACGCCATGACGCCGTAGTGCTTGTCGCCGAGAAAGCTCTTTGCCACGAATGTACTGCCGCATCCACTGTGACCGTGCCCATGCCTGTGGTGTTCGAAATAGCGCAGCATAGGGCCCGTAGTCATACTTGTCTCAGTAGCACCACCACATGATGTGCTTGACCCAAACGTACTGGTCGACATGATGGTGCTTGACTCCACGCTGCATTGGACTGGGATGCTCGGCTCCCACATGCTGCTCGCTGATACTGCTTGACCTGCTTGCAATGTAGTTGCGCGGGTCTGGGTACGCTCGACGGTCTTGCTGCCCGCCTGCGAAAAAGATGTCCAGAGATGTCGAAACAGTATACGGTGGGGCCTGGGCGCTATGCTGCCCTTACCCAGGGCGCTAGATACTCATAAAAAGCAGATGCCAAAGTTGAAAGAAAAGCCAATAAAGATCCAATAGAAATACTCGAGGGGGGGCACGCTCCGTCGCCATTGAGGGATCGTGCCCACCCGTATGGGCGCTACGGGCCCCCCCCCCTCGAGAATGGCACGCAATCGCAGTCCATGACGAAGCCATGCTGATGAACAAATATCCTCTCAGGTCACTCCCAATTTGAGTACATACAGTGGGTGCGCTGGCCCTCTCACCATTCTGTAATACAAACTGCAATCCAATCTGTAGGCTGCCAATAATATGCGCACCAATCTGCAATCTGGTGGTCCGCCCCGTGGGCTCCTCTCCTCCTCCTCCTCCTCCTCCTCCTCCTCCTCGCTGCTCCTCCTCCTCCTCGCTCCTCCTCGCTCCTCCTCCCTCCTCCTCCTCCTCCTCCTCTTCCTCCTCGCCCCTCAGCTGCCGCCCCTGCTCGAGAGGTTTTGGGAGCCGTAACAGGCGCAGCGAACCCCTCACGAGGGGCAGGCGGCTACGCGCGCTGGCCCGCGCCCGCCGCTGCGCGGATCCGCGGCCTGGGCCTTGGCCGCGACTGCGGCGGGCGGCACGCCGCGGGGTTCCCGCTCGCCGCGGGCTCGCGCGCGGCCCAGCGGCCATGGGGGCGAGCCAGCGTGGCGCCGTCGTGATCGACAGGCCCGCGCCAGTGCATGCGTGCTGCTACGAGTTGTCGGCGCGGCGCAGCGGCTACGTGATCATCGCAGTTCGATGTCGTGGCAACACCGGGGAGTTGGCAACGGTGGCGGCACGGGCAAAGGCAAGGGCAAGCAGGTCGTGCCCGTCCTGCCGCCGCCACCAGCATGGTGGTGCGAGCAGTGCGGCGAGCCCAACATGATGCAGGATAGACTGTGAAGGGTGTGCTTCCCAATGCCTGCCCAGGCGCCGTGGGCCAATGTTGGGCCACCGCCGCAGATGGCAGGCAGGCGACAACAGACGCCCACCCCGAAGTCCAATCGGCGTGCCCGATCGTCGGGGCGGATGGCTGGTCGCAGTCAGCGGGGAGAACGTGCCGATCGACGACGACGGCGTGGTCGTAGTCAGCAGGGAGAACGTGCCGACGCTGGTGCCGACGCTGCCGAGGCCACGCTCCCGCGGCGGCTGGTGCGGACGCCTGAGCCCGAGGCTGAGGCTGCGCCCGAGCCTGAGGCTCGCAGAGGGCGCTCGACGTCTGGGCCCAGGCGGACCCGAGCCTCTCGTCGGTCGAGGTCGGCAGATGTCACGTTCGAGGAGAGCGAGGTCGAGGAGGGCACGGACACGGAGGACTCGGCGGCGATGCAGCCACTAGGGGTGTTGCCTGCGCTCCCTGAGGAGGCCAGGGCGCATCCTTCATGGCTGGAGCCGCCTCGCACTGAAGAAGCAGTGCAGGTGCACAGGAGGTATCTTCGTCGCCTGGCCATCGCCTCCGCCAAGAAGCTGCGTGCAAGTCGGCAGCTTGGGCACCCTGAGAGTGTGGTCAACGATTTGGCGCAGGAATATGCAGTCCTCATGACCACGATGATAGTGTGCAGATCGCCGACGGCCAGGCTCCAGCACCAGCGTGCCTTTGTGGAGCGGGCCGAGAAGAGGATGAGACGGGCGCAGGACGACGTCGATGAGGCACAGGCTACCCTCGTGCACAAGTCAGGCGTTCTGTCCCAGCGTTCCAATGAGTTGGCGAGGGCGCAGCTATTGTTACGCCAACTGGAGACGCTCTACCCAGGGCCGAACAGCGATGCTACGACGTCGCCGACGGCAGCCGCACATGGGGACACCAGCACAGCCACACCGCCAGCAGGCGCGTCGCCGCGGGGGAGCCGCCCAGCGGATGCGCTGACGTCGAGCTCTGTCGCCGCCATCGCGGAGCTACAGCAGGGCCAGGTGAACATGGCGCAGCAGTTGGCGGGGCTGTCGACGGTACTGGGCGGGCTGCAGGCGACGCTGGGGCAGCTCGCAGCGGGCGCGGCCCAGGGACAGCAGACTGCAGCAGTGGCGCCAGCAGTGCCAGCGCGGGATGCGGAGGTGGTTGCATCGCCAGGCCCTGCCGCGCCCGTGGCGGTGTCGGGCGCGCCCATCCTGACAGAGGCCCAGGCGCGTGCCGCGGCAGAGCTACAGGCAGATGTCGATGGCGGGCATGGCGCGCCTGTGCCAGAGGATGCTGATGACGATGTGGCTTCCGACGACTGGGAGGCCAAGAAGGCTGCCCGAGCGGCCCGCGCCAAGGCAGCTGCCGAGCGCCGTGCTGAGGCCGCCGAGGAGGAGCGCCGCGCCATGAGGGCAAGGGGCATTGCAGGCCCAGGGCAGCCAACCATCGTGGCAGCCATGGCGGCCAGCGGGGCGGCATCGTCACCGATGTCAAGCAGTGTGGAGCCGCGTGTGGTTCCTGGAGAAGAGCGCCCGATGCCAAGGGGACGCGATGAGGCAGCCCGCAGTTCAGATGTTGAGAGGGATAGAAGCCACAGGCGATCCCATGACGGCCATGGGGAGGACTTTTTATCAAAGGGGTGAGTTTGCCTGCGGAGGTGGACACCGCCAGTGGGGATCGGCTCTTGCCCAGCGCGCGTCGCCTCCGCAGGGGCTGCAGGCTCAATCGCACATTTCTGTCTTGCCGCGAAGTCCACTTCCAGATTGCAGCAGGCTCGTGGATAAGCTGTCCAGGCCTGCCGCGGCATGTTATCTTGCGTATTTTTTGTCTCAGAGTCCAAGAAGAGTGCGAATTGCCTTGTCTTTTCTTGCATCGTCTCCATTCTTCCATGCGCTTCTGCATAATGTTGTTGCGGACTTGTCAGCATGCATCGACCGACGATTTACAGTTGCACAGACTGGTTGTATACATGGATG